ATGAAAAACCAACAGCCAACATACTAAATGGTCAACAATTGAGAACCTTCACACTAAAATTGCAAATGACATGAGGATATCAATTATCACCACTCCTGTTCAATATAGTTCTGGAAGCATTAGCCACAGCAATTAGACAAGAAATAGAAATAAATGTAATAAAGATAGGAAGGGAAGAATTAAAACTGTAATTATTTCCTGACAATCTATATAGAACAACAACAACAAAAAAACCTCTGCCAAAATATTTCTAGACTTAATTGACAGATTTAGTAGAGTAGATGGATACAAGGTCAACACTCAAAAATCAGTACCCTTTTTGCACAAAAATAACATTAACTGAGAGAGAAATTTGGGAAACAATTCTTTTCACAATAGCATCAAAAAATGAAATATCTAAGAATCAATCTAACAAAGGAAACAAAAAACCTCTGTATTGAAAACTATGGCACTCCATCAAAAGAGATCAAAGAGGATATCAGAAAATGAAAAGACATCCCTTACTCTTGGGTAGGAAAAATCAACATAGTGAAAATGGCCATATTTCCAAAACTGTTATACAGATTTAATACAATCTTGATTGAAACCTAAACATTATATTTCACTGAACAAGAGAAAACAATACAAAAATTCATTTGGAACCAGAAGAGACCTGGAATAGCAAAAATAATTCTAGGCAGCAGAGACATGGCAGGGGGCATCACATTTTCCAACTTGAAACTATACTACAAAGACACTGTGATAAAACAGCCTGGTACTGGAAGATAGACACAAGGATCAGTGGAATAGACTAGAAGATGCAAAAACAACTACAGACCTACTCAGCTACCTCATGTTTGACAAAGGAGCAACACATCCTCAGTGGAAGAAAGATAGCCTCTGTAATAAATTGTTGAAAAACTGGATTTCAACCTGCCAAAGATTAAAACTTGACCCCGATCTTTCAGCATGCAATAAACTAAAATTGAAGTGGATTAAATATCTAAATACTAAAACAGAAACACTACAGTTTCAGGAATATAAATTAGGTAGAACTCTTGAAGACATTGTCATAGTAAGAGATTTTATGAACAAATCCTCAGTAGCATGGGAACTAGCACAAAGAATCAACAACTGCAATCTCATCTTATTAGAAAGCTTCTGCACTGCCAGAGAAATCACAAACAGAGCTAAGAGACAACCTGCATTGTGGGAACAAATTTTTAACAGCTGTTCCTCAGACAAAGGATGACTATCTAGAATATATAAATGACTTTAAAAAGTCAGAACACCCCCAAATATAAAGACCTGATTTAAAAATGGGCATCTGAAATGAAGAGACATTTCTCAAAGAAGTAAAAGCAGCAAATAAATATATGAAAAAATTTTCAACATCACTGCATATGAGATGCATGTGAAAACAACACTGAGATTCCATCTCACACCAGAAAGAATGGCTGCTATCAAGAAATCAACCAACAACAAATGCTGGCAGAGCTGTGGGGAGAAAGTAACCCTTCTCCACTGTTGGTGGGAGTGCAGACTGGTGCAACCACTGTGGAAATCAATATGGAGATACCTCAAAAAACTAGGATTAGAGGTCCCATTTGACCCAGCTATCCCTCTGCTGGGTATCTTCCTAAAAGAATTAAAAGCATCATACCACAAGGATATATGCTCACCTATGTTTAAGCAACAGAGTTTGTAATAGTTAAACCTTGGGAACAATCCAATTGCCCCTCAACTGCAGACTGGATAAAGATGATGTGGTTTTTATATAAAACAGGGTATTACTCACCCATAAAGAATAAGAAACTAGAATCATTTATAGCTAAATGGATGAACCTTGAGGGCAAACTCTTAAGTGAAATATACAGGACATACATGTGTAAATACAGAACAGTTTTTCTGGTCTAAAAACTTGTGTAAATAAAGCAAGTTGAATAACTGATAATGTGAAATTGGAAAAAAATGGCTAAAGGAGTAGGGGAAGTGGGAAAAGGAGGGGAATAAAGGGAAAATATGGGAAAAGGAAAAAATATGAAGAAAGGAAAAAATGGAAACAAAATCTTTGTACATAGGGAAGAGAGGTGGGGGTGAAGGGAGTGCAGGGGAATGGGGTAAAAAATAAGGACCAAGATACATCATCTAAAGGTACAATTTACCAATGATGAAGGTAAACTGTATCTTATAGTTAAAATATACCAATAAAAGTGGAGTAAAAGGCCTTTAGGGAACCAAAATGGGCAATGTTACCTTAACACTCTAGCCTTCTAGCTGGAGGAACCATTAAAACCAGTTTATACTTACCAAGAACATCAATGGGCCTTAAAACAAGATGAAATGCAAAAGGGTCTCTGGTTGTATTCAGAAAACAAATCGGTCCTTCCTCAAGCAACTCAGTGGAATGCTTTAAAACATTTCATTGTTACATGCATATCGGAAAAGATGCTACATTGGAAAAGGTTGCTCAACTTATGAAAGTAGAACTAGTACCAACAATTCAACAAGGATTATAAAGATTGTCCACCATGTGCCTATAATAATCCGGGAAAGCCCAAACCACCTGTTTTAGTAGAACCTCTAAAGAAAGAACAATATACCCTAGGGAGAACTGTATTTAAGCACATGTACACCTAATTGAAACCTCTGTATTCTCAATTGAATCCTTTCCTACCATTCAGAAAAGGCTATGGAGGTGCTTCTTAAAGAAATCATCCTCAGATTTGGATGACACCATTCCCTTCAAAAGGACAATGGACCTTCTTTTATCAAATTAACTGAGGGAATGGCAAGACATTTAGGAATACACTACCAGGTCTACTTCACCTAGAGTGGACCTTCTTTTATCAAATTAACTGAGGGAATGGCAAAACATTTAGGGATACAGTACCAGGTCTACTCCACCTAGACGCCTCTTCTAGAAACCTAGAGAGAGACAACCTGACCTGAAAGCAAGCTCTGGCAAAACAGTGCCATGAGCTGTCTGAGTCTCGGCTCTGATTGCTGCCAGTGGCACTCAGGAGGGTTCATGCACAAAACGGTGCTAAGTCTGGCAGGCGGTGGAATCACTACTGAGCTCACTTGAGACGTTATATGGGAATCCACTTCTATCTTCTGACATACTAGCAGACCCAGAGAACATGAGACACTTACAATAGATCATCATTCCGGGCCAAGCACGACAGGCTATCCATACACGTGGGATCAGAGTCCTGCCAGGTCCTGGCCCAGTGGGCCCACCCAGAAAGGAAGGGCTCATAAAAACATGGAGGGAGGAGACTCCCACAGACCAATTCAACCCAAAACAGAAGGGCCCCTG